AAAACGTCTCAACTATCTGCCCTCCTTTTGGTCCTTCCCAAAGAGGCCATCCGTGCCCAGGCGTGGGTCCTTCTCACCCGTGGAGCTGGACACCAAAATGGGTTTTGAGAACAACTGGGCTCCCATGGACATAACACTTGGGAAGAAACTCCAAGTACTAAACTTTCTGACCAAGACCAGGAACTCCCAGGGTGTTTGTGAACGGCGTTACCCCTACAGTTCTCATTCTTGCTGTCAAGCAACCAAAAGTCACTCATCTCCCACATTCAAGAGCCTCGGTGGGCTCGCGAGAGCATTTCTAAGTGGGGGCTGCATCTCATCCCCTAGGAGGCATTTGGGGAATTTGTAGGGCCATTTTGTTGTTGTCGTTATTGTCATTGTTGTTGCAGTGTGGTGGGGGGTGTTGCTCCTGGAAATTAGAGAGCGTGCACAGGACGGTGTTGCCCAGTAAACACTATCCCTGTCCCGGACAACTTGCACACGTATAGCTGGAGACACATGTCAATGAAATGCTTGTTTAAAGCTTTCTGATTATGATTTTGTTTCACAACAAATGCCAAGGTACCTATTTCCCATTTTAATAAACACTAGAATTTCTAGAGGGTGCTATGTTTCATTTGCTGACTGTTTTTGGAAAAATCGCTGATGTCAGCGCTCTCAGTAAGGAGCATGGGCCGCGTGGACCCTGCACGCTGGTCTGCAGTGGCGGCAGGTGGCAACCTCCACCGTGGGCCAGTCTGCGGCGCGGCCCCAGACTTTATGTTCTGAAAGACCATGTGTGTTCAGTTGCACATGCCTTGCCTGGCTTTCTCCTTTATGAGACCAGGTGCTAGTGGGGATGTAAAATGGTGCGGCCACTAAGGAAAACAGCATGAACGTTCCTCAGAAAATTAAATGTGAAATTATTGATGATCCAGAAGCTTCGCTTCTGGCTACAAACCCAAAAGCACGGAACACAGGGACTCAGATGATCCGTCCACCTGTGTTCACAGCGGCATCATGCACAGTAGCCAGAAGGTGGAGGCAGCGACTATGTCCATCAGCAGATGACTGGACCAGCAAAATGCAATACGGACATGCGATGGAATATCCTCTGGCCTTTACAAGGAAGGAAATTCTGACGTTTTCTGCGACACGGATGAGCTTTGAGCACACAGTGTGAGTGACATCAGCGAGGCACACACGGACAAATGCTGCATGATCCCCCTTACATGAGGCACCCCGCTTAGACAAATCCCCAGGGTCACTAGAGGTCGGGCACAGCGCAGAGGGGGAGGCAGTGTTTGACGGGCACAGAGTTGCGGTTGGGGCACATGGCAAGGTCCTGGGGACCGATGGCGGTGAGGGCGGCAGGACAGCGTGGCTGTGCTCAGTGCCACGGAACTGTGCGCTCAAAAATGGTTAACATGGTGAATGTTGTGTTGTGTTTCTTTAACTGCAATTTTTAAAAAAAACTTATGCCTTTTATTAGTTTTTATGTATGTGTCAGCAGGATAGTAAAGAGGGCATTTCAAAATATTTGTTTTTAAAAGGAACCATTACACAGAGAACAAGGTGTCTAGAGTTTTATGCCCTCCGTGTTTTATGGCACATTTTATTTTGTCTGGAGACTTTCTGGCACCCCTTGAAATATGTGGAGACACCTAGGCATCACTAATGAAAGGCTGGGGATTGTTGGGGCACAGAAGGGGAAAACCCAGGGGGCTAAGAAAATCTATATGGGAGCTTATGAGGATCAGGGCTGAAGGAAGAGCTACCCGGAGTCGATTTAAGTTGGACGTGAGCTAGCACGCCTGGGACTACAAACATTTTATATTTATGGAGCTCCTCACACTTTATGATGCAAAAACACTCTGCACCTACAGTCCATTAACAGGCGGCAGCTACGACTGAGTGAAGGGGGACACACCAGGAGTCAGACCGGACTTGGCCACTTAAGGAAAGCCTGTGTGATTTAGGGCAAACGCCTTAACTTCTTTGAGTCCCTTTCGCCTCCGTCGGTGATAGGTGAATATTTTACCACCTTATCGTGAATGCCTCCTCTCTGTCCAGTACCTACTGTGGGCCCGGCACATGTCAGACATTTAATCACGTCAGCATTAATTATTTAATCTCCACAACTGCCCGTGAGATAGACATCGTCCCCATTACACAAATTAGGAAACCAAAGCAGATGTTGTCAGGGTCCCAGGCATTTCCTCCTGGCTCACCGGAGGGCATCTGCGTGGCTTCCTGTGTCTCTTTGGCTGCTTTAGTGTCTTCTGCCCACACACAGGCAGCCAGGAAGGGCCAGGGAGTGAACCTAGGAGCAACGGTCAGACAAGGAGGGGTGGACGCCGGTGGGCAAACACCCCAGGCCCCTCACCCTGCCGTGCGATAATCCTACAGTCTCCAGGAGGCTGATGAGACCCACCACGAACTTCCCTCCCTTCCCTGCCCACGCCCCACTCTGCTCCTTGGAATCAGCTCCCGTATAAACCGCCTGCACTCAGATACTTGTCTCTGCATCTGCTTTTGTGGGGAACCCAATGTAAGGTGGCAGCTGAGGCCCAGAGAGCTGCCCGTGATCCCACACATAGAGAGCCTGGCCAGGCCACCACTGACAACCCGCCGAGCCCAGAGTCCCTCTACCTGGTATCTGGCCTGGTGGTTGGGGAACTGAGTGAGACAATGCACACGAAGAGGTTCGCCCACAAAGGACATGATGAGAATGTGTCCGTTTCACCTTCATGAGAACCCATGAGGCAGATGAGCAAGTTAGCTCAATGCCCATTTTATAGGAAACTGAAGCTCAGACTTTTGCCCAAAGGGACCATATAATCAGTGACCGATGACAGGAGGGTCCTCTGCTGCTCCGGGTCCATTCTCCACTTTCCTCTGCCTTTCTGTGTACCTGGGAGGCCCACACTCTGGAGTTCATCCCCCAAGCCCCTCGCTCTCTGGCTTCCAGTTGGGTTCAGCCAATAGAAACCATGGGCAGGAAGAATAAAAAGGGGGCGATGGGCCCCCACTGTCTCCCCGATGGGCTACAATTTTAGTAGTGGCAGCAGGTAGAGACCTGAGCCACAGTCCCCATCCAGCCACCTTAATTTTTTTTAAAAAGGCATTTGGCTTTGCCTAGGTTTTATTTGAAATCTAGAATCCTGGGAAAGAGGCGAGGAAATGAGCTAAGTTTGCTAAGACCCCAAACACCGTCTCAAGCCAGTGCGCCCTGCACTGGGGCTGCAGCTCTCAGCAGGGGTGGCCAGGTGCACACCCTCCGTTGCCCTTCCTCACCTGATGTGGCTTCCGGTTCTTGCTGGTCCCAAGAGGTTCCTCCTCCCCTGCCCACACGTCTGTAAATCTAGGCATGATCCTTCCATTACTCTGTCTTCTTAAGCCCTTCGAGGTGTCATTCTCTTTATGGCTGGGACTCTGATGGATCCATTGGGCTTAGCAACCAGTAAGGGAGGGAGAAAATAAAACACTTATGGAATAAATGCCATTTTCCAGGCAGGGCCTGTGCACAGCCCTTTCCATCCACAGGCTTCACGATATTGCTGTGAAGTGGGTATTATCCTGAGTCCCATCACACAGATAAATAAACTGAGGCTCAGCAATGGCCCCATGGACCGAGCTCCAGGTCGGTCAGAATCGACAGTCCCTGTGCTCTCTCCCCTTCACCACAAAGACCACACTGGTCTCTAGCCCGACCTGTCATCATGGTAAATAACTGTTGGGACCAGAGCCCCCCCTCAGCCTTGCTCCGGGCATGTCAGGAAACCCGAGAACACCCTGCCTGTGGCGAGGGTGTAGCATCTTTGTGGCCAGTGAGCATTCCGTGAATGGAAACAGCCTTTCCCTTCTGCGAGGAGAGGCAGGATTTCATGTGAATGTGTGATGACTGGCAGGGAGCCAAGAATAAGAGCAGGAAATGGGAGCCCAAGCGAGATAACTGCCCCGAACATTAACATTGCCGGGCGGGAGCCGGGTAAACAGAGGACTTTCAATTCTGCAAAGCATTGGAGAGCCCCTTGGCTTCAGGACAGCCCTCGGGGAGAGCCGGGAATATTAGGAAAAGGAGGAGATGCCTTGGCAGGCTGGGAGACTAAGTGCTGCTGGAGTAATTAAAGGGCGGAGCCAATGAGTAGGAACCCATAGAATAATGCAAAACCCAAAAGCAAGCATCTGAAAGTGCAAAAAAAAAGCTTGTGCTTAGTAGCTGAAATATTCGAAACAACAGTTTGGAATGAGAACCATATGGAACAAAAGGCTGTTGTCATTCAACTCAGCAGCTTGAGAAAGGTGACGCGTCCCCACGGGGGTTCGGAGTGGGAACAGTCAGAGAGAAAGGGTTCAGAACGCTGAATGAGGTTGCAGAGCTGAACAGGCCCAGAAGGGCTCCCCCCAATATTTGACAGTCATGACTAAAATCGGGAACGTTAGATTTCACCCCATCAGAATGCACAACTCACCCGTTGTTCATCATTTCCAGCTATTTAGCACCTATATTCCAAGCGCTTTACGTATCTTATTCCTAATTCACCCAATGACCTGCAAGTAGTGTTCCTGCTTCATTATACAGATTAAGAAACTGAGGCAGAGAGCGAGTGACTTGCTCAAGGTCACACACGCACAGAGCTGCTGAGAGGATGAACAAGGAGGCATAAACCCAGACCCCTTTTTCTGAGAGGCCTCCTAGAGGGTCCAATCTTCTCATTCCAGAAGGGAAAATTGCGTAATAGAGAGAAGATCTCCATGTCTGTGGACATGGTGGCCCTAGAACTTGAGCAAGAGCCCTGTGGGGTCTGGGAAGAAAAACCTTTGAGCCGACTCAACCCAGCTCCTACGTTAATGCCGTTTTGATCTTCCCAAGATCGCCAAGCTGGGCAGCCCGGCAGCGGGTTTTCCGAGCACAGTAAGTAGCACAGACCCCTTCCATTTGTGTGTTTATTTGTTCATTCACTCAGCAAACATTTTTCAAGTGCTAAGAACTATGCACCAGGAAAATAGTTTTCCAGGTAACAACACAAAAGTGCTTGATTTGCATTTTCTGTTGATCTGATTTTTTCAAATTTTATCACCTTTCACTGTAGTTCACTACCTCAGGTCCCCCAGCACTCCTCCAGAAACTCAGTTCAGCTAGTAGTCAGCACACTGCTATCTTGAGCTCATTTATGACCAGAGAGCAGTTCTTGGCTTTCAGAAAAGGGATTGTGTTTTCTCTTCAGTAACACTGGCAGCTCAGAAAGCATGTATTTTCCATAGCAAATATGAATGGCGAAAGTGTCGTAGAGTCTCCTTTGTGAGCTGAAGGTAGTTGAAAGGGTGCTTTGTCAGGGCTCTGAAAAAAAAAACACGGGTTTGGCTAGAGTTTTATTAGAAATCTAGAAACCTGGGGAGGGGGGAATAAAGCTATGCAAGTTTGCCAAATCCCAGAACATTTTCCCCATTTGTTCAGACCCAATGCCAGGTTCATGCTGGCCTATTATCAATAAATTTTTGCTTTGTAACAAATGACTCCTGAAACCTAGTGGCTGAAAACATGTATTGTTTTCAACAATAAATACTTATTATTTCCCATGATCCTGGGGGTCTGCTGGTGGTCCATGTGGGCCCCTTTGGCCAGGCCCCGATGGGCTAGGATGCTGTATTCTAGGATGCCTCATGACTGAGGCACACCTGGGGTGCATGGGCCTCTCTCGTCCCCAGGGCACTAGCCTGGGCGTCTTTACCTGCCCATGGAAGGGTTCTTAGTAGCCAGAGAATAGCAACCCCAATGGATAAGCACTTTTCAAGATTCTTTCCTCTGGTGGATGTTACTGGCCAAAGCCAGTCACAAGGCCAAGCCAAATTCAAGGGGAGAAAAAACAGTCTCCACTTTTTGACAGGCAGATCTACAAGTTATCGCGGCCATTTCTTTTTTTCTTATTCCTTCAGCTGCTGGGAGTTTTGCTGGCGGAAGGCCCTGAACTGCCAGCCCTCTCAGAAACGGCTCCTTTTCTTCTAAAGAAAGCCACCTCTCTCAAGGACACTCCTCCTTCCCAGGGAAGCCCGCAGTGGTAACGGGCCAATACTGGGATAGGAAGGCTTAGTTCCCTGCCCAGGCTCAAGGCAAGTGTGAGTGGTCGCCCAGGCTTCCGAGCTCCCCAGGGGTCAGCAGGGGCCTTTGCTGGACCTGGCTTGCATGCAGTCGAACTCCTATCCCCGCCCAGCCCTGCTCCCCCTCCCCACACAGGCCTCTGCCCAGAGCACCCCCCCCCAGAACACCTGCCTCATCAGACCTGCTGCAGCTTGATCTCAGTCCCAGCAGCTGCTCCCTGGGGACGCCAATGGCTGCCAGCTGACACCAGGAGGAGTCGCAGAGAGCAGATGCTAAAGCATAACAGGGGCTGGGTCACTGACAGCCAACAGAACGAGAACCCCAATTCTGAGTTTAGAAGACGGTGGTGAAATCGGTCAAACTGCCGCCCGCGGTCCAATGGGATGGGATGCTGGGAGGAGCAAAGGAAGTGGATGTGGCATAGCAAGCTTTCGAAACACCTGGAGGAAATAGTCATGCTCAGGGCAAAGGAACTGAATGGGTGTTGCTGGAGAACAATGGGTGCTTTGGGGAAAGGTAACAAAAGACTCAGAGTGACTACTGGCCCATTAAAAACTAACTGCAAAAGCACAAGAGCCTCTTGGCCCCACGTAAAGAAATTCTCGTCTCCTGTAGCCAACACAGATTAAATTCTCCACCAAAAACAATGGAAGGAGCTGTGGCTCCTGGTGTTTTTGTGAAGCAGAGTTGCTATGTCAGCTCAGACTTTTACATGAGAGAAATACATTTCTGTCTAATTTAATACATTGTTAGAGGGAGTCTATTTCACATCTAGTCCATGCTGTACCCTGCCATAGACTGCATGTTGTATCTCCAAAAAGTCGTATGTTGGATCTTGATCCCCAATGTGATGGCGTCAGAAGATGAGACTTTGGGCAGGTGCTTAGGTCATAAGGATGGAGCCCGCATACCTGGGATTGGTGCCCTTCTGAAAGAGGCCCCAGGGATCTCCCTCCCTCCCTCCTTTCACCGTGTGAGGGCACGGCAAGAAGTCAGCGGTCTGCAGCTTAGAAGAGGCCCTCATCAGACCTTGACCATGCTATCACCTTGATCTTGGACGGCAAGCCTCCAGAACTGTGAGAAATAAATTTCTGTTGTTGATAAGCTACCCAATTCATGGTATTTTGTTATAGCAGCCCAAACATACTAAGATATACCCTAACCACCAGCCTTGAGCATACTTCAAATCCACCTAAAAGGCACAGAATTGGGGCCCCCAGCATGGTGCAAATGTGGCACTAACGATTTCAGGGTCCATGTGCTCACGCATGTGCCCAGCTGCAGGGCTGGCTAGAAAGTACAGTACAAGCTGCACAGTCTTCAGTTTCTTGAATCTAAAAGGTTTATAAAAGGAAAGACTCTCTTTGCTCCTTATTGCCTCTGCCACACCTGTTTCAGAAGTGTGCGGTGTGACTTACTACCTACCTGACAGCTCTTCTAGGTAACATCTGCACGTAACCAACAGCCTCCTGTATCGCCTGGGAGGAGGCTGTCCCTGGGGACAGTGAGACCTCAGCAGCCAGTGGCTGAAGGGAAAGGAAGGCAGGTGGTGGCATTTCTGAGACACTGTCTTAGTTCACTCCTCCTTCCTTTGGACAACAGCCATTTGAGAAGCAGAAAGGGGAGTCCAATAAAGACCAACAGTATCGGCTTTGTGGCTTCTCTGGACTAGATAACACTGCTTAGATATGAAGCCGACAGCAGCATTTGACTCCTTCCTTCCTGAATTAAATGACACCCTCATTTGGGGGTATAGCTGCAGCTTCCCCTATGTTCCTCCCTCACCCCCACCAATTCCAGGCAACCCCTTCCAGATGCTTGACCCTCCCTGGCTGCTTCCCCCTCCAGGGGGCAGGTGCAAAGGGGACACACACAGCATGTGGCCGACGCCTGTCTCTGCAAGAATGCAAGTAGGGGCTTCGCTGCACGTGCTTACTTCCCCTGGTCTCAGTCTCACCAAGGAGCTCGTCCCTCCTCCCCCGGGGGAGAGGGATTAGTAAAAGGAGTGGCAATCAGGATGTAGTTGTACCCAAAGAGAGAGAGATGGAACTCCCCCACCCCTTCTCTCATCCTCTCCCTGCCCCTAGAAGTTACACCGGGGTAGGGCAGGTGTTCCAAGTTATAGAATTGGCCCCGGATGGGGAGGTTAATATTTCTATTAAATAATCATAACGCTCCCATCTACCATTTGTTGAATACTCACTACGTGCCAGACATTGAACTGAGCAGACGAATGGCCCAAAAAACTGGGGCTCAGTCCAGGCTCCCCTCAATATGCCGGGGCGGGGAGGCAGTTGGGTGGGGGGAGAATGAAAGGAGTTGTTAAAAGGACTCAGAAGCAGTTTGAAGAGGCTTCCACTGGCCAAAGATGAAGTTTGATTAAATACAATAACTGAAAAGTATTGAAACCTATCAAATACATTTAATTCCATGAGTCTTAATGATACTTCTCAAAAACCCTAATTGCTTGTGAACTAAGTCCATATTCATAAAGCTGATAAGCAAAGAAAAAGAGGCAGCCTTTATTCTGCTTTTTCTATATGGACTATGCCATTGGGTGACCAAATGGTAGATATGAGGAAGGTTTTTTTTTAAGGTATTCTATTTAATAATTGAAGAAAGAATCAGAGAATCCAAACCTAATCATTTTTTTTAATTAATTTATTTTTTAGAGAGAGGGGATGAAGGGAGAAAGAGGGAGAAAAACAAACACCGATAGGTTGTGGTCCCAGGTCCCCACCTGGATGGGAATCAAACCAGCAGCGTTGGGCTCGTGAGCCAAGGTTCACCCACTGAGCCATACCAGCTGGGGTCAAAATGAACCATTTTGCAAGCTCTAATGAATTAATTCCAGTGTGAGCATCGACACCTGCTACACCCACAAAATGAGACAACCGGATATTTCATGCCTGTGGTAGAAGAACACAGCACCACCTACAGAGTGGTCTTGCCAGGAGAAATCAAATCTAAATGCAAGCAAGACTTTCTAATCAAACACCAATGCATGCAGGCATGTCTTGTCGGCAGGTCATCCAACGGCAAAACTCTACGGGATGAACCACTCAACTTCTTTAAGAAATAATTTGCAAGGAAAAAATAGATGCAGGAACAGAAATTGAGGGGTTTTATTATCACAATATGTAGACTTTATTTGGATGCTGACCCAAGCAAACCATTCATGAAAAAAAACCTTTAAAACTTTTATGAAGCAACTGGAAATGTAAACTCTGGCTCAGTTATTTGATGACATTAAGGAATCATTGTTACCTTTAGGTGTGATCGTGGGATTGTGATTCTGTTAAAAACAAACAGTTCCAATAGTATAGAGGTATACACTAAAAGATTTACAGATGCAATAATATCCAGAACTTGCTTCAAAATAATATCAGGAGAGACTACATGGAGGCATAGATAAACAAGTCTGGCCATGATTGGATCATTGTTGAGGCTGGGTGATGGGTACATGAAGATTTATTACATGAGTCTCTGTATTTTTGTGAATATTTGAGATTTTCCACAATAAAAGTTAAGAGAAAAACATGCGAAGGGGCCTAATTTGATGGGTGGGTAGTGGCAGAACAAGTCTGTGCCTCGTACCTTACGTTTAGATTAAGGCAGAATCTTAGCAGATGGTGGGGGCCCTAGAGAGTGGGGAGGCCATACTAGGCAAATGGCCAGGCTCATCAAAGGGGTCCAGCAACAGCATTAATATGGGAGTACAATCCCAAGAACCAGACAGACCTAGCAAGAGGTGGGAGGAGCCCAGCATGGCAGACATATAGACACTTGCTGGTTTTGGTTGCCAGAGTAAGACCCTGCCCCTGGCAGGCACAGGGCACTCAATGTACTGCCAACACTGTGTGGATTAATTCCAGAACTGGGGGAGCTTGTCAGTGAAGGTCCCCCATGCCTACAGCCGAGCTTGGCAGGGGAAAGGCAGACAGCAATCCTGCAGTGCCTTAACCCTCCCGGGAGAACCCCGAAACAATTTTAGGATTGAATGGGGGTGTGCATAAGAGAAGGATTTGGTTGCCCGCGAATTCCCTTTCTGAGAAAAGCTCTCAGTCTCTCTGTGGTTTGGGCCGCCATGTTGAAGCCACAGGACCCCACCCCTCTAGCCACAGCTGACTGAACCAAGAATGTACACCTAACCCAAGGGGGGAAAAATTCATAGGCTGAGCTTAGTGTCCTCATCAAGAGTTGGAACTAGGAAACTAAGAAACCAAGATTAAGAACTGCAA